GGGTTATCTGGGTTTTAGAGGGTTACTGGGGTTATCTGGGTTTTAGAGGGTTATCTGGGTTTTAGAGGGTTACTGGGGTTATCTGGGTTTTAGAGGGTTACTGGGGTTATCTGGGTTTTAGAGGTCTGAAACAAGGTGTGTGTGTTTGGATAACTAACCTTGATCAATAATTGAACACGTGTTATCAGTTTACTGTTTAGCTGTTACCATGACAGAGGCCCATCCATAATTAAGCGTTTGGGAGTGTGACGGTAGTATTTTCCCCTCGGTTTGACAGTCAGGATGTTATTTTTGACCGTTTCGTTCGGCCGGAGCTGTTTTCCCTCCTGATGGGATGTGAAAAAAAAGCTTTTTTGGTTAACTTCCTCCTGATGGGATGTGAAAAACAAGCTTTTTTGATCAACTTCCTCCTGATGGGATGTGAAAAACAAGCTTTTTTTAATTAATTTCCTCCTGATGGGATGTGAAAAACAAGCTTTTTAGAATAACTTCCTCCTGATGGGATGTGAAAAACAAGCTTTTTTGATCAACTTCCTCCTGATGGGATGTGAAAAACAAGCTTTTTAGATTCACTTCCTCCTGATGGGATGTGAAAAACAAGCTTTTTAGATGAACTTCCTCCTGAAAAACAAGCTTTTTAGAATAACTTCCTCCTGATGGGATGTGAAAAACAAGCTTTTTTGGTTAATTTCCTCCTGATGGGATGTGAAAAACGAGCTTTTTAGATTAACTTCCTCCTGAAAAACAAGCTTTTTAGAATAACTTCCTCCGGATGGGATGTGAAAAACGAGCTTTTTTGATGAACTTTTTGAAATGATCTCTCTACCTGTGTTTCTTTTCTTCTTCTTTTTGTTTTCTTAAGTGTGAAATATGCGTGCTATGAATTTATTACTCGACGTTCTCAGTTTAATTAGCTCTTTTTGGTGTGAAATGTGCTGAAGCCGAGGCCCCTCTCCTGCATGGAGGACGGGAAAACGGTGCGTTTCCGCGTGGCTTCGGCCCACAGCGGCCGGGTCCTGGCCGAGGTGTTCAAGGACCAGCGGGCGTGGGAAATCTCGGCTCCGGCCTCCAGAGGCTCAGGCGGGGGGGAACAGGAGGAGGAGGAGAGGGACGAGTCTCCAGGCTCTCCACCACCGACCCCCAGTGAGGCCAACAGGCACCTGGACGGGCTGCGGGGGGGCGGGGAGGGCCTGGAGGAAACGGACGACCTGCTGCTTTACGCCAGTAGAAAGAGGGAGAAACTTTTTAGCAACAAGAGGATCAATATCTGCAGCCAGAACGGGACCGTCCGGGGGGTCAGGAACAAGGTGGGCGCCGGCCAGGTGCTGTTCAACAGCCTCTCCAGCGTGTACTCGGTAAGAGAGAAGCAGAAATACTCTAATAATCCCAGAGGGGAATGACTTTTGTTACATGCAGGCTCCATAAGTAAAACAAAGGCATATCAATATATACATGTCTGTACATATACAAAGAATGCAACGATCTATAACTTTAATCATATGTACATTCTAACAGTGAAAGACAGAATCCCAAAGAAAATTTTCAGAAAATCACATCATAGGAATTTATAAAAATTGATAACCATCTGATGAGGAAAAATAAGCATTCTTTGTAAGTGGGCAAACCTGCAAAATCAGCAAGGGGTCAAATACTTATTTCCTCCACTGTATATGTACAGACATGTACAGGACTGTCTCAGAAAATTAGAATATTGTGATGAAGTTCTTTATTTTCTGTAATGCAATTAAAAAACATGAAATGTCATACATTCTGGATTCATTACAAATCAACTGAAATATCGCAAGCCTTTTATTGTTTTAATATCGCTGATTATGGCTTACAGCTTAAGAAACCCAAATATCCTATCTCAAAATATTAGAATATATCGGATTTTTGAGTTTTCTTCAGCTGTACGCCATAATCAGCGATATTAAAACAATAAAAGGCTTGCGATATTTCAGCTGATTTTTAATGAATCCAGAATGTATGACATTTCATGATTTTGAATCGCATTACAGAAAATAAAGAACTTTATCACCATATTCTAATTTTCTGAGACAGTCCTGTACAGTGGGGGAAATAAGTATTTGACCCCTTTCTGATTTTGCAGGTTTGCCCACTTACAAAGAATGCTTATTTTTCCTCATCAGATGGTTATCAATTTTTAAAAATTCATATGATGTGATTTTCTGGAATTTTCTTTGGGATTCTGTCTTTCACTGTTAGAATGTACATATGATTAAAGTTATAGATCGTTGCATTCTTTGTAAGTGGGCAAACCTGCAAAATCAGCAAGGGCTCAAATACTTATTTCCCCCACTGTATACATATATATATATACAAAATTCGTCATATAATATAGCTAGATATATACATAAAAAACCATATGTGTATATATAGGTCAAAATAAGTGGTGGATAGTGTCAATGGGGGGGTGACCGGGGGGTGACCTTTTCTCCTCCTGTTTCAGGGCTCCCACCGGAGGAGGAGGCCGTGGGAAAAGGAGTGACCAGGGTCGGGTTTCCCCAGACTCACGGGATCCATCAGGAGTTTATGAGGCTAAAGTTAGCTCCGATTTAACACAAAAAGTCAAACTTTAGGCTAAAATTAGCTTCGATTTAGCACAAAAAGTCAAACTTTAGGCTAAAATTAGCTTCGATTTAACACAAAAAGTCAAACTTTAGGCTAAAATTAGCTTCAATTTAACACAAAAAGTCCAAGTTTCCTCATAAGACGAAAATCAACATCATCAGTATGCCGTCACAATGGGTTAATATCTCAATTTTAAGAAAGATATCCATTATTATAATACAAAATAATGAGCTATAACCTCAAAATTTAGAGAGGGCATGTTCCACCGTATCCATCTTAGGTTTATGAGGCTAAAATTAGCTTCAATTTAACACAAAAAGTCAAACTTTAGGCTAAAATTAGCTTCGATTTAACACAAAAAGTCCAACTTTGCTCATAAGAACAACATCAACATTATCAGTATGCCATCACCATGGGTTAAGATCTCCATTTTAAGAAATATATCCATTATCATAATACAAAATAATGAGGTAGAAGCTTGAAATGTAGAGGCCACGGAGAGACTCATAGGATGCATCTTAAGTTTATGAACATTTAGGCTAAAATAAGCTTTAATTTAGCACAAAAAGTCCAACTTTGCTCATCAGAACAACATCAACATCATCAGTATGCCGTCACAATGGGTGAATATATCTCCATTTTAAGAAATATATCCATTATCATGATACAAAATAATGAGCTAGAACATTGAAATTGAGAGAGGCCTTAAAAGTAGTCTTAAAATAAATGAGGTAGAACCTTGAAATGTAGAGGCCATGGAGAAACTCATAGGATCCATCTTAAGTTTTGAACATTTAGGCTAAAATAGGCTTTAATTTAACACAAAAAGTCCAACTTTGCTCATCAGAACAACACTTACAGTAAGTCAACATCATCCGTATGCTGTCACAATAGGTCAATACCTCCATTTAAAAAAAAAAAAATCATTATCATAATACAAAATAATGAGCTAGAACCTCGAAATTTAGAGAGGCCACGGACAGACTCATAGGATCCATCTTAAGTTTATGAACATTTGGGCTAAAATTAGCTTCAATTTAACACAAAAAGTCCAACTTTGCTCATCAGAACAACATAAACATCATCAGTATGCCGTCACAATGGGTTAATACCTCCATTCTTAGAAATATATCCATTATGATAATACAAAATAAGGAGTTAGAACCTCAAAATTTAGAGAGGCCACGGGCAAACTAACAGGATCCATCTTAAGTTTATGAGGCTAAAATTAGCTTCGATTTAGCACAAAAAGTCAGACTTTGCTCATAAGAACAACATAAACATCATCAGTATGCCGTCACAATGGGTCAATACCTCCCTTTTAAAAAATATATTCATTATCATAATATAAAATAATAAGGTAGAAACTTGAAATTTAGAGAGGCCACGGAGAGACTCACAGGATCCATCTTAAGTTTATGAACATTTAGGCTAAAATTAGCTTCGATTTAACACAAAAAGTCCAACTTTGCTCATCAGAACAACACTTACAATGAGACAACATCATCAGTATGTCATCCCGATGGGTTAATACCTCCATTTTAAGAATAAAATAATGAGCTAGAACCTCGAAATTTATAGAGGTTAATCCCTTAATTTAGAAAATGTGGATCGCATGCCAAAAATTTAGCAATAATTCATCCTATTTTATGATATCATCCTCAAAACGTTTGAAACGTGCAGCTTTATGAGACCATAACCTACAAAAGCATCGCTTTGATCATATTTTTGTAGAAATTGGCCCCTTTTTCAGGATTTAAAAAGTTAATTAATCAAACAACAGCTTGAATGTGTTTGTCAGCATTTTACATTCTGTTCGGACTTCAAATTTAAGCAATTTTGAATATTCAAATCTGCTGAAATAAAGTTTAAAAATTCCTTATTTAAGCTGCCGTGTTTCAATAAAGTTGAATAATAAACTAAAACTAATAAAGAGGTTTTTCTCAATGCTCAAAGACAGGAAAGGTTTTTGGAAAGACTTTTGTACTTTTATAAGTTTTTGGCTGATTGTGGCTCATATTTCATATGATTTTGATACCTGGTGGAGTTGTCATATGGAATAGCTGAGTTTTATTAATATTTTGTAAACATTTTGTAATAATGGTCAAAAATTGGTTGTACTTCTTATGGTAAATTTGCTTTATCCATTGGCTGATTTGTTGTACTGCACCTTATAAGCAGTTTTTAAATGTATTACATCTTAAAATGTTTGTATTCAAGTAACTTGAGCCGAGTTTATATCATTTAAGTTTAATTTCAACAAGTAACTCTGTAAAATCTTTTTGGTGACAACCAATATTTGTCATGATTGTTTAATATATTCTGGATTTGTCTTTTCTTTTTTGGAATAAGCAATAAATCTACAAACTACTTTGTGTAATGTGTGTAAGTAACTTAATAAATACTGCAGATAATTACACATAGCAAGAAAACAAATGACTTCTAGAAGAGAGATGGGAAAAGAAATAAATGATAAAGAAATAATCAATAAAAAGGGTTTTTATTGGCCCTTCAGCTCAGAGACTGAAGAACGGAGGTAGAGGTGGAGACTGAGATACAGGACCAGCCCTAACTCACTCTGACTTTAGACAGGATACCTACACCAACTTAGATTATTTAGTTTTATTTCAATTGTATATTTCATGTATTTTTTTCTATGACTTTGAAGTAATTTATTTAATATTTATATTTTTTCTATGACTCAGACATTATTTATTTCATTCTTTTTTTCCCCAATGACTTATATGTTATTTATTGAATTTTTATGTTTAATATTTTTTTTGTACAACTTCAACGTAAATTTACTTCGGGTGTGGAGTCAAATATTTGATCAAATTTCCCTTCAGATGTTGGAAAATTCGTATATTTAGTTCTCGTAATAGAGGTTCTGCTGTATTTCTGTCTGACTTCCAGTGAACAACAAAGAGACAAAGACTGTTTCTCTTCAGACTCAAAGCTGCCGCTGGTTCTTCTTCATCACAGCAATAACGGCGGCATATCCCAGAGATTCCGGAAAAGTTCGGAAAAGTCCGGAAAAGTTCGGAAGAGTCCGAAAGAGTCCGGAAAAGTCCGGGGACACCAACGATAACTCTGTAGGAAAATGTTATGTCCAAACATGATCATCACTCACGAAAAGTGCTATCATTCCTGTTTTGGTTCAACATGTTTCAGCCTTCTAACCAAGTCCGTCTGGCTGCAGGAAGCCAAGGATGGATATCCAACTCCCCCACATCCAAGTCGGCCATTTTGATTAGGTCGCCAATAGGAAGATCCCAGGCAAGAAAATCCTAATGGCTTCATGGCAATATAGACATTAATTTAGAAATAGTGAAATGAATCTTGCAAACACTGAATTAAACTCTATCCATAATATTATGTTAAAATAGTGGATGTTAAATAGGTTTGTACAATAAGTCCAAACAAGTTTAACCAAAAAATATTTATTTCTCACAATTATGAAGGCTGGGGGGTTAGGGTCAGGGTTAGGGTTAGGGTTAAGGTTAGGGTTAGGGTTAGGGTTAGGATTAGGGTTAGGGTCAGGGTCAGGGTTAGGGTCAGAGTTAGGGTTTAGGACATTGTTTATCTTCTGATTTCTTATAGACAGTAAAGTTTCGTTTCCACCTCAGAAAGCTGCTAGTCACATGACCTAATCAAAATGGCCGACTTGGATGTGGGAGGAGTTGGATAACCAGCCGAGGCTCTTTATCTGAGTTGGACTCAGATCTGCGGTATAACGGCAGATTTGAGGCATTTAAAAGGGCACAAAACACACAAACAAAGGAGAGTCTCATTGGAAGTTTTCCAACTTATCTAAAAATACTTTTTTCTTTGGCTTTTTCTTTTGCATAAGTCTGCCTTCAAGGACTTCGGCAACATTTGTCGTTCAGTCTGACTCACTTTTCTGCTGCCATCTGCCAGGAAAAGAAACTGTACAGAAAACAAAAAGAGGCCGATTCACAGGCCTGAGCGTCTGTTAAAACAAAAAAACTGTGAGGAAAAAAGACTATTTGCATGATTTCTCTCAGCTAAGACACTGTGTTAGAAGCATAAAACATCATGATTGTAAACCACCAGCATCTATAGAAACTATATGTTATCAGTATATATGCAAAGGTGTTCGTACGTTCACATTCACACACTACAGGCATTTTTAAAGGACTATTCCATATATTCTTTGTATTGTTCTTAATAATGTGGTGACAGTATTATGCACATGATTCAAATAAAAGCCATAAAAAGGTGAAACAACTAGAGATTCTTGTACAAAGTTTAAAATGTTCCTGTCAGTGTTATCCAATGGGCTGTTTCAATAACTCCATGATCTTTTGAAATATGGATTTGAATTAATATTATGCTGGAAAAAATAAAGTTGCAATAAATGTCCGGGGCTGATGTGGTTCAGAAGGAAGCTGGTGTTGAATTTAATACGTCTCAGTGGGAAGAGGAGAGCTACAAATATTAAAATACAGATGGTTTTCATTTTATTTAGATCCTTAAGGCAGAAATTTAGATGTTGAATGCTGCTGACTCATTTCCTAAGTAACGGTTGGATGATTTCCACTATGATGACACGCGGACAGACTAAGAGTTTAGAGAACATCTGGATTTGTTATTTTTAAACAACAAAAGGGAGAGTAGGTCAAATACTGCTCTCTTAACTGCAAACCCCTGAATCAGATGGTCAGATTAACCCCACATATGCCCATGTTAGAAGAGTAATTAAACATTAATACATTACAGTAAAGACCCCAAAAACAATCCATTAAGTTTTAGAGGAAATTTAGTTGAAGGGAAATTCTAATTTAATATTCTGTGTGCCAAGTAATATGAAGACTTATCAAAGATAATTAGCCTAATTTATGAGTACATTTTTGTTCTATAGTTGTATTTCTTCTAAGGATTTCGTTACTCCTACTTGAAATTTTCCTCAAAAACAGAAAGCTAATCTTTTAAAGGTAAAAGCAGAACTATTAAATTAAACTAACAAACAACAATTTAATCAATTTTAGATAGTCACTTTAGCTGGTTTAAGATGACAAACAAACAACCTTCAATTTTCGGATTATGTAATCCAACATCAAATATTTTAGTTACATTGTTCATTCAATATTTGATCAGATTTTAAACATTTTACTTTTTTATAAACCAAACTACATGCGTTTATTAAATCTAAGAAATACGCATGGGATATAAAAACACAAAAAATAATAATAAAATACTTACACTTTGGTGTTCACACGTGCTTTGGCTAGTTCCCAGTCTGCACGACGGATGGCGGTATGTTGACATCCGCTGTCAGAACTACCGGAATTAGAGGAGCCGAAGAAGAGTGGACAGCTGCTATGAAAGGTTATTCCATAGGTGAGTGCGCCACCAAACGACTAAATAATTACTCATACTGTCTGACAATGCGGTGATTTCTGTCCCAAATATTTTTTTCTTACCCTGCAAACTCGTGTTATGTTGCACGTGGACGGAAGTAACGGCCCACGAGCGCGTTTAGGAATAGTTAAGCTAGCTAACCGTACATGTTTCTGCTGGGTTTCAACTTCAACGTGATTGATTTTACTATTTATTGAGCACAAACGCTTCAATATATGACGGTAAAATGACTAAATAGTGGCTAAAGTAAAACCCCAAAAGTTATCAATGGATAATATTAAATAAGTATTTTTTGTTTTTGACTTACCGGATGTCAACAATCAACTTCCGGTAAACACAGATGCGTTAAT